GAGAGAGAGAGAGAGAGACTTTCCCCCATACTTTTTACTATGACTGCTTCAATGTGTTACCAAACTCAAGGGATCTTGGGCTTGGGTACTCTATTCGAGAACCAGATGTAGTTGTCCTTCGGTAGTTTATATGTTTGCCGCAAGTAACGGAAACAGGGCATTCACATCCAAAGCTGTCTCTTGGGAGGCTTAGCTACTGCTTACACGGTACTTGGTTAATTACATGTTGATTTCTTCTTTGCAGTTGGCTATGCTTATCGGGTTGGGTTCTTGGGTTCAGGTCAAGCTTATCCTATTACAGTCGCTTTGTGCGACATTTTAAGGTGTAGCAAGAATCACATTTAGGCCTGGCAGGCATGGTTCAGTGCTCCAGCATTGACCCATGAACCAAGAGCTCTTGGGGAAGGCGAGGGATTGATCACTGCTCTCTCTACCTAGTTCCATCTCTGGTCAGGGCACATGCCCGGTTTCCAGGTTCCATCCCCAGTAGGAGGAGTGCAGGAGGCAGCCAATTGATGTTTCTCAGGGATGTTTCTCTCCCTATCCTTCTCCCTTCTTCTCTGTAAAGATCAATAAAAATATATTCTTTAAAAAATAAAGGCTTGAAAAAATTGCATTTAGGAAGAACTCCCCGGACTTGGAGACCCTAGTCCTATCTAATAAATGGGAACTCTTGGAAATCAGTATCTGATGACCCTTCATTATTAATGCAAAGATGCTAAAAATAATTTATCATTATTAAGCAGGAAATTTAAAACAAAGCAAAAAGAATCTCAATGACAAAGATACAAAAGATGAAAGGTAACCCACAAGGTACTCAATCTTGAGCCAGATGTCTCAATGACAAAAACAGAGTAATTTTAATGCAGATGCATGCCTTGGAGCAACTTTGATACGGCAAAGATCTAGTGCATGTCACCTTATCCAACTGTGTTCTTCTAGACCAGCGGTTCTCAACCTGTGGGTCGCAACCCCGTTGGGGGTCAAACGACCCTTTCACAGGGGTCGCCTAAGACCATCGGAAAACACATATATAATTACATATTCTTTTTGTGATTAATCACTATGCTTTATGTTCCATTTGTAACAATGAAAATACATCCTGCAAATCAGATATTTACATAACGATTCATAACAGTAGCAAAATCAGTTATGAAGTAGCAACGAAATTAATTTTATTGTTGGGGGTCACCACATGAGGAACTGTATTAAAGGGTCATGGCATTAGGAAAGTTGAGAACCACTGTTCTAGATAAACATTTAAATACCAGCATAAAATATGGTTGTGTATTTTGTGACTATAAATATCAGTCAGTTATTCAGTGCTTACATATCCTAAAATATGACTGCTTTATTCCCAATAAGAATAATGACGAATTGTATAGAGTTGAGCAAGTCTCTTTTGAGTTAATACACTAGAAGTTCCCCAGAGCCAAAAATCAAATCCCCGTAGAACATATCACCGGAGTCTTTTTCTTGATATATTACAGTCTTGCCAACTGCATGAAAATATACTCTATAAAAATTTAAATTTTGGCCCTGGCCAGGTAGCTCAGTTGGTTAGAGCATTGTCCCAATACACCAAGATTGTAGGTTTGATCTTATTCAGGGCACATACAAGAAGCAACCTATGAATGCATAAATAAGTGGAACAACAAACACACACACCCTCACCGCCCACTTCCTCTCTCACTTTGTCTCAAAATAATAAATATAAAAAGTTTAAATTTTCAAATGTACATAAATCAAGTGTGGATCTCCTCTCCTTTAATTTTGCAGGGCAAGGTATCTTCCCAAATGACACCTTAAAATATTGAGAGTTCTAGAGAACTTATGTTCATACTAGAGCTTTCTAGCTAATCTTTGTGTCTCATGGGCCTCAGAAATCAGAGCACCACTTTAGACAGGTACTGTTCCCCCTCACTTTTCAAACACATCGGTTCATTTTTACTACACGTGGGGCTATAATAAATGTGGCACATCAAACCAGGTCTCAATCTACATTTCCACTTGTGAAATAACTGCCTTTCAGTTAAGACAGATTTCCAGAGGCCGTATCGTATACCAAAGAAAAATGCAGAACATTAGGGATTTTAAAAATATGTATCCATTGCCCCAGCTGGTGTGGCTCGGTGCTCTGGTTGGGTGTCATCCTGTGCACTGAAAGGCTGGCAGTTCATTTCCCCATAGGGAGCTCCATGCAGGAGGCAGACGATTGATGTTCTGCTCTCACATGGGTATTTCTCTCTCTCTTCCCTCATCTCTTTAAAAATCAACAAAAATATTTTTAAAATATGTATTTAACCATTTGTTTTGAAGGTTTACAGAAAGTGGGAAATTATATAGTTAAACCAGTCATTCTCAATTATGGGTAATTTTGTCCTCTAAAAGATGTTTGGCAGTGTGGAGACATTTTTTGGTTGTTACAATTGGTTGGCAGGTGCTACTACTGGCATCTAGTGGGTAAAGGCCAGAGATACTGCTAAACATTGCACAGCACTGCTGTAACAATTGACCACAGATTGGGTAGCTTATAAATAATAAATTTCTCACAGTTCTGGAGGCTGGAAGTCTGAGATGATGGTGCCAGCATGGTTAGGTTCAAGTGAGAGCCCTCTGGGGGTTGCAGACTGACTTCTCATTGTATCCTCACAGGGCAGAGAGGGCAAGAGAGCTTTCTGCAAGGCCTATTACAAGGACACTAAGTGGAAAGAAATACTGTGAAAAAGGTAATATTGGAAAGAAAGTACACATGATGGGGTTGTTGGTGCCTTGACAAGAATGGTTTGAGTAATAGGAATAAAGCAAGACTGGAGTAGTGCAAGAAGGAATAGTGGGTGTACAGGGAGGGGGACGAAATGAGTGTAGATAACTGTTTTCAAGAAATTTTTGTCATAAAAGGGAGCAAAAATAAAATGGTAGGGGTCTGGGAGGGTTTTAAATGTGAGATTAAAAATGAGAAGTGTGTATGCAGGTGGAAAAATGAGAAGTGTGTATGCAAGTGGGAACAAGCCAAAGGAGCAAAATTGACTCATGAGGATAAATGTAATAGTGGGAAAGGTAGAGATGGTTCATGTTATAATGTTTTCAACTATAGGCTGAGTCCCTTTGCTGGGTCATGAAATCAATTTGGTGGGTCAGTTTCTCAATTAGTATTTTAAATCCTTGCTACACATTAGAAATTTGCAAGAGAGAAAAATGTGTACACAAACACAACAGCCTGTTTAAACATTTTATAGATGAATTTCAAACAAAAACTGTAACTTCACTTCTTACATTTTGAACTAGTTGAAAATAAAAGGGAGTTAAAAAAAAAAAAGCGTCTGGCACCTAAATTCAGGGGATTCCCTATATCTCACCAGGATAAAGTTTGGTTTGAATAAACTTTTCTTAATTTTAGAATAACGAATACTGCTAAAATTCTTGAAAAAACTATTTGTAAGAAAGAGAAAATAGACTGAAATATTTATTGGAAAATCTATGTCAAGCTCCATAATTTAAAATTATTTAAAACAAATTAAAAACATCTATAAAAGGTCAGAACATTCAGTATTTTAAGCTAAAACTAACTTTAGAAAATTGTATCATGGTTATAAAAACAATAATAGCAAGCTACACATTTTTAATTACAGAAAACAGTAAAAATATAATAAATCTAACAAAATATATCTTGCAGTTGCTTGGGGGGAAAGGTGGGAACAAATATTTTTATTTTATTTACATTTATTTATTTAAGGGTTTTCCATTTGACATTGCAAATAATCCCATTTCTCTTGTCTTTTAATGTAATACCTGAACTCACATAAAGGAGATGGAATACATAAAATTACAAAGATAATGGTAAAGTAAGGCACATCACACCCAAATTACACACTGAATTATTGCAAAGGGCATCTCACACATATAAGGGATATTAGTTTTAGAAAAAGAGCAATGCCCACCTCCAGGTACACACAAATGCACACACACAAACTCCACGTTATTAAAGGAGAAAACAAAAAGGATCATAGTAATTAGCCTTTCACTTTCCTATGTTAGTTTTTAAGCTCTTTTTCAGTCATAATGAAAATCTACTAGAGAACAGGATTTTCTTCAAATGTGTATGGTTCAAACACGATTAGTTTTTGTATTCAATACTCTATTTTGTGCTACTGTTCTTTTATTAATATGTGCATATGTTTATATTCTTTAAAATTAAAATTTTGAAAATTGTAAAACGCTGTTTTCTACTTATAATGCCATAGTTCAGTGTTTATATACTATTCTGGAAGACTGACTAAATGACAACATACAGATTGAGAAACAAAATCTGATATTATCGAATGTATGTATACTGGAATTTTAGCAAAATGTTTTACTATATTTACCCCATATACTATTTTATTATATTCTGAACTTTTATACTGATATAGTGAGGAATTTTATTTACTGGAAAAGAGTCCCAAATTTCTGTTCTGTGGTTTGACAAAAATTTGAAATACCACTTTTAGTTTGATTTTGATAAATTTGTATCATGTGAAGAGACCATTGATAGCGAAAATAAAGTATATAAGTGTATCTTTCCCATCACAGTTGTTCTAATTGACAATAAATTATAAATGGTAATCATTATTTTACCAAGACTCTGCTATTATAAGAATAGACCTGAATATATTTACCTCAATGATAGACAGCAAATTGATAATTAGTTTTATATTTAGAAGAAAAAAGTTAAGTGTAACATCTGAGTTGATAATCCTTTGTGAATGTGTTAAAGATACAGGTTATCAGCACAGGTATGAAAACTAAAAACACTTTAAAAATAAGTACTGTAAGAGTATTTATATACAAATATGGCTCATTAAGAAAAAGATTAAAACATAATGTGATTAATACATTATATTAATTCACAGTATAAACACACATTGAGGAGTAATTTAAGTCAGGAATAAAAATACAGATACATCAGTTAGCACTATCAATACATATTTTTTTCTGTCATATGCATGAAAATATACACATAGATATATAGCTCTTTTAAACTATTTTTTACATAAATATTCACTGATTTAAATAAAAGTTGAAAGAGGTAGAATTTGTGTCAATTTTCATGATTTCAGGAACAAGTACTTCAAATATATTATTACTGTTCTGTCTGTAACAAGTCCATACAGCCAACTCATTGAAAGTCAACATTCTGAAAAAGAGGGGAAGGGAAAGGTGGGTTAAAATAAAAATGTTAAATCAAGCTCAAAACATCATGAAAAACTTAGATTCAGTAATGTTTTAATTGAAATTATATTCTCTAATACAACCCTTGCCTATTTAGTGGTTAAGTTGTACTGTTTTCTACTTCAAAAAGATTCCCTTCAAATTACCAAAATACAGCAAAATACGTGAAGACTAAAAGAATGACACATAGTGAAAAGACTGGAATAATATAGCATGTTAACTGAGAAAAATCACTCAAAACATAAGATATGTCTAGGTTTAATAAAATACAAGTGTATACAAATACTGAAAATTATGTTGTCTGAGTTTTAAAATGTTATGGAGAGTCAAATATTTTTCAAAATATGTTCATGTTATATGTTATCTAATCATCCTCCCAATTAAAACACACACATTAAAATATGAAAAATCCCATAATGGAAACACTGAGAAAGTAATTACATTGTTCTATACTTAGGAAGACATACTTAAGAAGATATTATCAGACATGCTTTCTAATTTGATGTAAAATAACATTTTTGATGAGAAAAAAATTGGAAACAAGCTCTATGTCCCATAAGAAAAGAATGATAAATAAATCCCAGGATATCCATGTGATAAACCATTAGATCACTATTTTAAAATGGTATTTTTGAAAATATTTTTATTTTTTAAAAAATATTTTTATTGATTTTTTTACAGAGAGGAAGGGAGAGGTATAGAGAGTTAGAAACATCTATGAGAGAGAAACATCGGTCAGCTGCCTCCTGCATACCCACTACTGGGGATGTGCCCACAACCAAGGTACATGCCCTTGACTGGAATCGAACCTGGGGCCCTTCAGTCCCCAGGCCGACGCTCTATCCACTGAGTCAAACCGGTCAGGGCTGAAAATATTTTTAATGATAACAATAAATCCTCATAACAATATTAGGGGGGGGGGGAACCACAAACAATAAAACAAAACAAAAACAGGATAAAAACTACGTTGAATATGATCTCTATTAGAATTACATGTATGTCTATGCATGTGTATGTTAATTACAAATTAAATACAAGATGGAAGTATACCAAAATGCTAATTGCTATTTTCTCTGGATTGTAGGATTAAAAGTGATTTTAATTTTACATCCATGTTAGTAGCAGCGCTTTCATAATAGCAACCCAAGTGTTCACCAACTCATGAATGGATAAAAAAATGTGGTATATACATACAATGGCATATTATTTAGCCTTAAAAAGCAAGAAAGTTCTGAGACAAACTCCAACATGGATGAACCCTGAAAACATTATGCTAAGTGAAATAAGCCATTCACAAAAAGGACAAACACTGTATGATTCCATTTATCTTGCGGTACATAGAATAGTCAAATTCATAGAGACAGACTATAATGGTGATTCTCAGGGGGGTGGGGGACTAAGAGAATGAGGAGTAAGTATTTAATGGGCACAAAGTTTCAGTTGAAGAAGATAAAAAAGTTCTGAAGTTGGATGGTGGAACAAATTTGTTCACAACAATGTGAATGTACTAACTATTAGAGAAATGTATACCCCAAAATGGTTAAAATGATAAATTTAATGTTATATTTTCCATAAACATTTTTTAAATGATTTTTATTTTCTGTATATTTTTGTATTTTATGTCTTTTCCAGTGAGCATGTATTACATACAATAAAAAAAAGTAAAAATAAATTGGGTATATAGTTTAACTATTAGAGGCACTGTAAAATATGGGTTGATATGACCATATCTTACTTATTTTTGAGTGCTTATGGACAAAGCCCTTAATATTAATTTTGGTGATAATATTTAGAAAATATGGGTGGAAATGGGTTACCAATGAACATCATCATTAGTTTATTGGGACTTTGCTAATGGTTGAAGTTTCTAATCTATATCTACTATTATGGCTATCATAAAAACATGGAAAACAACAAGCACTGAAAAGGACTTGAAAAATTAGAACCCTCACATTGATGGTGGAAATGTAAAATGGTACAGCTGTGTAGAAAAAGTCGGGCAAGTACTCAAGAAGTTAACAAAGATTTTCCATATGACTTAGCAACTCTATTACTAGGTACTCCCAAGAGATTTGAAAACAGGGACTAAAACAGATCCTTGTACACCAATGTTCTTAGCAGTGTTATTCACCATAGCTAAGAGATGAAAACAACCCAGGTGTCCATAAACTGATGAATGGATAAACAAAATGTGGTATGAACATACAAACGAATATTATCCAGGCATAAAAAGGAAGGAAGTTCTGAGATATTCGATGATATGTATTCGATATTTGATAGATATTCGATGACAGCGTTATCTGAAGTGAAATAAGACAGACACAAAAGGACAAAAGGACAAATACTATATGATTTCACTTAGATGAAAATGTAAGTAGGCAAATTCATAGAAGACTGAAGAATTATTGTTTAAAGGATACAGACTTTCTATTTAGGGTGGAAATAGTAGTGATCGTTGCACAACACTAAGGAGAGAGCCTAATGCTGAGAATTTAATGCACTGGGTTTTCACTTAAAAATAGTTAAGATGGCAAAGTTCATGCCATATATATTTTATCACAATTAAAAAAATGTTTTCTAATTTATCACATCTTTATCCCACAGGTGTACTGATGAGTTTCCCATAGGCTACATGATGTGAAAGACCAGGTAGTATATATTTTAGATTTGTGGGCAAAGGGTCTCTGTCACACTACTTAATTCTGCCACTGTAGAAAAGCAGTCTTACACAATATGTAAAAATATGGGTGTGGCTATGCTCCAATAAAGCGTAATTTAACAAAACCTAGGCCCTTCAAATATCAGTAACCCTGGAAGCTTCTGTATGTTAAAGCATAGCACATACATTCTGAGTCATTGAGGAAATGCTTACTTATCTCCTATGTACTTCTATTAAAAGAGGCAAAGAAATGCATAATTTTTTAAAAGAACTGACTACTATTTCTGTCAATGAGCCTGCATTTTTCACAGTCACCTACCTCTCAAACCCTGGGTCTGACATGCTTCTTTCCCATTCATTCCCATTTCCAGTGAGTCAGCAAAGTCATTGACACTTCCTCAGTCCTAGTGCTCTGGAAAATTGCTTTGCCTTATCTACTCAAGCTCAAACATCTGCATGTTCTGTGACCTGACAATTTCACTATTAAGTATACACCCAAAGAAATGCACACATCTGTTCACCAACATACGGTACAAGCATGTTCTTAACTCTCTGTAATAGCCTGAACTGGAAATTACCAGTGCCTGTCAACAATAGAATGAGTAAATGGACTGTGGTAAGTTCACATAATAGAATACTACACAGCAACAAGAATGAGCATTCTACAAGGACACACAATAGTATGGATGAATCCATACTGGTCTGTTGAGGAAAAGAGGCCAGAAATGTGTATCATTTTTAAAATGTCCAAAAGCGGCAAAAAAACCACTATGCTTTTAATAGTCAAAACGGTTACTTTTAGAGCAGGGCTTATGACCAAAAGGGAGCTCAAGTGAGGTAATGCTTTATTTCTTGATCTGAGTGCAGGCTGCATAGTTGTGTGTACTCAGTTTCTGAAAATTCACTAGGCTGCACACTATAAACATGACACTTTTCTGTACATATAATTTATTTTTTTAAATTGATCATCTTTGCTTTCAATAATATTATACTGATCCTGAACTGATTATACTGTTTCGTTCATAGCTCTTTCTGGTCTCCCTGCCTCTGGTTTCTACCCTGCCCAATAAAGCCCAAATACAATTTTGAGTTAATCTGCCAGGAACAGTTTTTTCTTTTTCTTTTTAATATATTTTTATTGATTTCAGACTGTGACCTCCTAGTTCATAGGTCAATGCTCAACCACTGAGCCACACCAGTTGGGCTAGGAACTGTTCTTTCATCTTAACTCTTCCCTTGTATGCATGATATACACAGGAAGACCTTTAATGGCTCCCCTTGACTTACAGAAAAAATCTCTCATTTAGTCTCACATTAAATAATTCTATGTATCTTACTCTCCACGCCTTTCTCCTTCATTATTCCTCAACAGCCTGTAATTCCAACCAGATTCAGTCTATTGTGCCACATGCATTCCTGTCTGTCTTTGTCCACACTTGTATCATCCAGTACTTGTACCTTGAATTTAGCACTTCATAAAGTGCTAATATTTCTCTGTGATGTCTCATATCGTCATGGACCAGAAATGTTCGATGAGTTTTTATAATTATACTAGAGGCCCGGTGCACGAAATTCATGCACAGGGGGGGCAGACGGGGTATGTCCCTCAGCCCAGCCTGCACCCTCTCCAATCTGGGATCCCTCTCACAACACAATCCAGGACTGCTGGTTCCCAACTACTCGCCTGCCTGCCTGCCTGATTGCCCCTAACTGCTTCTGCCTGCAAGCCTGATCACCCCCTAACCACTCCCCTGCCAGCCTGATTGACACCTAACTGCTCCCTTGCCGGTGCGACTGCCCCCAATTGCCCTCCCCTGCCAGCCTGGTCACCCCCAACTGCCTTCCCCTGCTGGTCTGGTACCCCCCCTACTGCCCTCCCCTACTGGCCCAGTCCCCCCCAATTGCCCTCCCCTGCTGGCCTGGTCAGCCCTAGCTGCCCTCCCCTGCAGGCCTGGTCTCCCCCCTCAATGGCCCTCCCTTGCAGGCCTGTTCACCCCCAACTGCCGTCCCCTGCTGGCCATCTTGTGGCCATATGGGGGCAGCCATCTTTGACCACATGGAGCCAAGAAAATACATTGGGGAAAGGCTAGCCTCTTCAACAAATGCTGTTGAGAAAACTGGGAAGCCCCATGCAAAAGAATTATACTCAATCACTATCTTATACCATATATAAAAATTAACTCAAAATCGATTGACGTTCTAAATAGAAGAGTTAAAACTATAAAACTGTTGGGAAAAAAGACAGATGTAAATCTTTGTGCCCTTGGATTAAGCAATAGTTTATCAGGTATGAAAGACATAAAAGGCACAGAAAATATAAATAAATTAGACTGAACCCCCCCAACTGCCCTCCCCTATAGGCCTGGTAGCCCCAACTGCCCTCCACTTGTAGTCCTGGTCACCCCCAAGTGCCCTCCCCAGGCTGGCCATCCTGTGTCCACATGGGGGCGGCCATCTTGTGTGTTGGCATGATGGTCAATTTGCATAATGCTCTTTTTTTAGATAGGATATACTCTCATCACCACCACCACCACCAAATAGAACATTCCATTATTCCCACCGAAGGTGGTCAGAAAGTTCCCCTGATCACTTTTGCAGGCAATCTCCTTGCCTCCCCAGAAAACTACTTCCTGAATTTTCATAATCATAGATTAGTTTTGCTTGTCCATGGTGTTACATACGTACCTTTCTAAAAATTATCAGTTTATATGTTCAGGAGAATGTAAAGGAGATTTCAGAGTAGAACTAAGGGGTGGTGCGGGAAGACCATGCCGACGCATCTCCTGGATTGCTCGTTCTCTGTCAAGTAAGATCAAATAAGAGATAATATCAAAAAGGGCTATACAAATATAAGGTGCTGCTATTGTTGTTAATGAAATAATTACTACTCAATTAATTTCTATTTACTAAATTTAAATCCCATGTCCTTATATGATTTTTAAATAGTAGATAAAAGATTTCAATTAAAGGAATTGTATTATAAGAGATTGTTCAAAGGCCCTCTGAGCACAGATTTCCAAAGTTGGATGATTCTTCCCTTTGCTCCTTCCCTTCCCACCTCTTCTTGCACATAAATCTAGCCCTCTGCCTCTTCCTGCCTCAAAACTCCCAAATGTCATAGAGTAAAGTAATCCATTCTCTATTATGCTTTCCTTCCCTGTGTCTGTCTGCCCCACAAAGCATGGGGACTGCACTACCATCTCCTTGTGAGCAATCCAGGCTCTGGCCTAGACTTTTTATGCCTTGAGTTCTTCAGTATCCAGGATTTCTACATACTTGGGTGTTTCACAAATGCTTTTTCACTATTATTCCCCTAAAGAAACTTTTTTAGATGTTTTCTCCACACTCCATGAAATTTTAATATACAGGTACATTGTTTACATACTGTAGCCCTTTAGAGGGCCATAAATTATGGTAATACCTAGGGGGTTTTGCCACTCCTTCTTCCCCCAAGAACCAATTTTGTCCCATAGTAGGCAGTATTGCCCCTTTAAGAATGCATAATCTAGTTGGATGTTAAGAAGGAAAGACATGGTCATGTGGGTCAAGGTTTCTTTGGAAACTGGGGTAGGGAAAAAGGAGAGAAATTAAGGGGGTCTATAACCTTACGCAATCGAGAGTTTGACTTAGGACCTGTGAATTGAAAGAATTTAAGTTATCATTAAGAAATATAGTTCAGCATATTAAGATACTAGGTCTTCTAAATTACGAGATTAAAAATAGCTTTCACAACACTGACACAATCTCAGGCTTCATATCTTACTAAGATAATAAATATTGAATTCCTAGCAAATTCTGTCTATATGTTAAACAGCACATCAATAAACATTTTAATGTCAATGGGTAAGAATAAGAGAACTAAAAAACTGACTTAATAAGCAATTTTTCCACTGTTTGAGAATATGATCTCAGAAATGTTGTTATCTATGATATTAATATAGTAGGAAAGACTAATTGAAGACACTTGATAACTGATTTAAAAATCAGATACTGATTTTAACTTTAAAGCAGGTCTTATTCCTGTGTGTAACACTTAGGGATTAAAATTTTTAACATACTGAAGCAAATGAACTGAAATACAAGTGAATATGAAAATTACTAAGCCATAGAGAGTACATTATAGAGGTTGGGGAGCACAGGCTTTAAAATTAGACCAGACTTGCCTGAATTTCATTACTGACTCTGCTATTTACTCCTGTATGACCCCCGTTTCCTAAAATATAGGCATAATAATAGGTTGTTAGGATTATCAAATATATACATAGTATCTGGTACATATTTGTTAAAGTCCTTATAATCAGCATCATCACTTATTTAATGACTTGTATTTAGTTTTCAATTGGATCATATTGTTTTGGACTCTTGTGGAATCCTTACTAGCTTGTTTATTCCCTAGCTATATCCTCTGAAATAATGACCTAATTTTGCTATGAAAAACATTCACACAGTATCTGCTACTTTATTTACTGTAGTGATATTATCTTTTACAACGCTTGTTGCCTTTTCAGGAAGAATTACTGAAGAAATTTATTTTGAGCATTAATGCTAAAAAACAGTTTGCTACTTGTAAGCTACATTAAATACTTTTTGAAATAGGACAGGACATAAATAAAAACACTATCTAATGCTGAAAGTTTTTCTTACCGTTCATATCTTTCAGTTGATATCTGCCTTTTCATGGCATCATGATCTGTTTGTAATTGTGCCACTTTAGCCCGAAGCATGGTGTTCTCCCGGCTTTGACTAGTTCTTAAAAACAAATTTTAAAATTCAAAGAAATAAATAACAAATGTTCTGTTTTGTAGAGTGTAGTGTCATAGATTTTTTTTGTGATTAATAAATACAAAGGAGATGATACTTAAGAATGAAAAAAAAGGGAAGATTAAGACTTTCAACAATAATTCTTAAAACTTCTGGAGCTTCTATCACAAAGTTTCCTTTTTCATGCATCTTATTTAATAAACACTTAGCATGTGCAAGTCACTGCAGCAGGACTGCAGATACAAATTTGAGTAATGACAGGATTGTAATGTCTAGTTGTAAAGTATCTTCACTGACTTCCTTGACTCTTTCTTGCCTCAGAAAGAGAAATGTTTCTAATTCTTTTTAAAAGTTACTTATCCCACTTGTATGTACCATCTACTCTGGGTTTCCGCTCTTCTTCCCACAAATATACCTAGCCCTCTCCAGGCTAAAAAGACACCATCATCAACGTCCTCAAAGGTAATCAATACACGAGGGTTAAACTGCCCAGGTTTCTTGAAGTACTTCTCCTAATCCACAGTGTGAAAAGCTGCTGACACTCCCATCCTGAAATGCTCTCTCCTTTGCTGACTCCTCTCTTCCTTGTTCAAATTTAGTAATTTTTACAAAGTTCCCTCATTCACTTTCATGGGAACCATCTCTGGTGAAGATACACAAATCTACATCTCCAAACATGGTATCTCTTCTGAACTAAGTCCCTAAACTTCCAAAAGCAGCAGCCACATAAATAAAGTATTTTGGTTTTTAACCCCTTCCCCAACAATTTTTTTGTTAAAAACGTTTCTTTTTCAGACTAATTTTTTTATTTTGGTTCTATATAGTATTTTTGATGCTGGTTATGAAAACAGTTTGTAACTCGTCTTCCTATAAACCATATTTTTTTACCATATTTTCTTAGTATACTCGTCGACGACTGAAAAAGAACATTTTGTGAAAACGAGTATACACGTTTCTGCCGGGGAAGGGGTTAAACTGCCCTTCACACTCCCTTCCCCAATCTCCCATTGCAAGTTTAAAACATTTTTTTTTGTTCCTCCAATGTTTTTAATCATTTGTTTTATGCTACAAATCTACAATTTACTCATATTAAAATTATTTTTAATAAGCTATTTTCCTTACATAGATTGATTTAAGACACTTACAATTTGCTTTCTGAAAGGGTTAACTTCTCTTTAAGTAACTGAATTTCTGTATCCTTCTCTTGGGAAGTTAAATGAGAATGAAATTCTTTATCTCTATTTGTAGCCAACAATGATTCAAGATTTTTAATCGTGTGTCTCTCACTTGACAGTTGTGTTTTTAACAGGTCTGATTCTGATTTTACATTTTCTAATTCCATCACAACCTACAGGAAAAACAAAGGAAGATTACTTCGGCACTTTTTTTTTTTAACATTTCAAGAAAAACAATCTTAAATATGTTACATGACTTCTTGGCACATTTTAGACTTATTCAGAAAAATTATCCGCAGAGCTACTAGTATATCCAAACACATCAGTTCCTTCATTTTGGGTACCAGTTAAAAAACCTGAACCACTCTTTTAAGTATAAAAAAATCTTATTTTCAAAACAATCTTTGCTATTTTCAGTAAGGGTTTATTTGGCTATGAGATCTACTCCAACCTTCAAATAGTTTTCTAGTACTACCTTATCAGGAGAGGGTCATTATCATAAACTCTTAAAATATGGCCACCCTATCAGCAAGGAGGCTCTTCTGATCTATTAAATCTGTGTCCTCTGACTACATGATTAAGCCAGTATTTGAGCTTCTCAGTACCAGTAAACAAAGATACTAAATGAGTGAAAATTGAAAACACCAATGTTTGAAAACACACATTTAAAGTAATGCTTCAGTTTGGGAATGGGAAGTTCCAGCTAACTAGACTTTTAAAGATTTAAATGCCTTGAGATTTTTAAAAAATAGATTTCAGAGAGGGAGAAATAGAAATATCAATGATGAGAGAATCATGGATCAGCTGCCTCCTGCACATCCCCTACTGGGGACCAAGCCTGCAACCCGGGCATGTGCCCTGACGGGGAATTGAACCCTGACCTCCTGATTCATAGGTCAACACTCAACCACTGAGCCAAGTTGGCCGGGCTGCATTGAGATTTTTATCAGGAAAAATATTCTACTTAGGAAGCAGTGAAGTGCTCACCACTCCATTTAAGTCTTATCTTTAAACAAATAAAGAATGTATTGGGATATGCTTCTATTCTATAATGAGAAGACTAATATCTCCTAAACACCCATCTACTCTAAAACAGACAGCTCCTAATTTCATCACCACATTTGCCAGAGAAATCCTGGCAGAGAATCTAGTAGTCAAAGTTAGTTCTCAAAATCCTGCAGTCAAAAGTAACTACTCCAAAGGGGAACAAATATATTAGGTAGTGAATGATAAATTAAAACAACTAGAGTAGGGCTCAGTAAAACAATGTATTACAACAATATCTTATAAGTTCTTACCCTCTCATATTCAAGGTTTTTAGCATTCAATTGTTGGGTCATAATATCTTTGCCTGAGTCAAGCTTAATACAGAGTTCTCTAAGAGATGACAAATCATTGAATACTGTTGCTTTCTCATCTTCTTGATGTCTCAGCTCTTCTTCTAATCTAGATATGGCTTTTGTCATTGATGAGATCTGAGATTCATAGGCATGATGTGCATTTATGTGCTGAAAATAAAAAAGAAACAGATAAAAAGTTAGAGTAACCCAATAATTTTAAAGGCTTGAATTTGTGCTACAACCTCACTTCATGAAAATGTAAGTGCCAATATTTGCATATTTTCAGACACTCTCAAGAAGTTTCCTGCTATATTTAAAGATGGCCTATTTAATGCTTAACACATGAATTGCATATAATTATTAATCATGATAAATAAGTACTTCATGTATATATTTAGAAGATAAAAAAATGAAAATTATTGTTCTAGGGTGTTGTGAATATGAGAGTTCTTTGAACTACAGTAAATTTTCCTCTATAAATTGTTTGTTATAATAATGCCTTTTCAAGAAAAGTCACATATATACAGAGTGAGGCAAAGTTTACAGTTGTTCTTATGGAAAATAATACAATAATTAATAAATAACAGTACAAGAATGAACTCTGTGTTTCGTGTACTCACAACTGTAAACCTACTTTTGCCACAACCTGTACTTATCACTCATCAATTGTCTTTAAATTCTGAATTTCAAAATGGAGTTTGCTTTAAAACCAAATACCTGAAGTCATATTTAAATTTAATTTAATAATACACTACTTTATAAGATAATATTAACTGAAATAATGAGCAAAGTTTGAAATACTGGTAAGATACTTGTCTTAGAAAAATCCACAATTTAAATTCCTCACAATTTAGATTATGAGTAATAAATACAAAGTGACTTAAACTCTACTTCTAGAATTTAGAAACAAGTCCCCACTTGAAAATTAATTCAAACAGGCCCTTCTGAAATGAGTCAACATGAAAAATAGAATGCTGCGTGTAAAGATTTAATAAATGTCAACAGTTTCAGAAAAGTAAACATTTGGATTTTCCAAATATTAATGAATTAATAAAATCAGTTTCCCGCAAACAAATGAAATATTAATATATAAATCAATTACACATCTATACTAATAAAAGGGTAATATGCTAATTAGTCTGGATGTCTTCCAAACATCCTTCCTGACAAAGCCAGGGGCGTGGCCGACCTGCAAACAGCCGGAGGCCCCTCGCCCAGGCCGGCCCCACCCCCAGCAGGGACCCCCACCCCGATCGGGGGCGTGGCTGGCCTACAAACCACCCCAGGCCCCTTGCCCAGGCCGGCCCCACCCTCAACCCG